TAAGTTTACTTCGGTATTGTCTTGAAGGAGATAAGAACCACTGAAATATTTAAAGTAGTAGATTGAATTTCTGGTGGAAAAAAACTAATTTAACAGCAATAATTGATCTTGAGGTTCCAATAACAGAACCTCTTAAACTTTCAGGTTTTCCTTTTTATAAATAAACTGCCACATTGTGGCCATTTCTATCCCCTAAGAGAATCCTCAACAAAACCAAGATTTAGTGCAAACTCAGCTCTATCTGCAGTCACTGTTATTAATTTTGTGTGTTATACAAACACACACACACACACACACACACACACACACACACACAGGTATACAAGTGAGGTGCCCAAGGAGGCCAGCAGGAATCAGATTCCCTGGAGCTAACTACAGGCACTATGAATCATCTAACATGGGCTCTGGGAACTGAAACAGGGGGGGGGGGGCTTCTTAGAAGCAATACTCACTCTTAACCACAGCACCATCTCTCTAGCCTCAGGTAGGCCTCCTTCCATAAATCTTTTCACATTTCTTTATAGGTCACTCTTCATTAGATGGAACAAGTACTTACTACCTGTTTAATTTATCAGGTTTGTGGCATGGAGCATGCATGGCCTGTGGAAGGTTTTTTTCATGAATGAATAGATTTGAAAAACTAGCTTATCTCCCAGGACTACAACCGAAATGACCTAGGAAGAAGAATTACAGTAGAGAGGAAGTAATCTGGAATGTCTTCTTTGCTGTAGAGCTTAAGCTGAGTTTGCACTAAATCTTGTTAGATAAATGTTTAAAAGGTTGGCTAGGGTGAATGAGGAGGACACAATTCACAACTGGGCAACATAATTATAAATATTTTTGTATGATTTGATTTTAGTCAAAAATATTGGGGTGCAGGAAGACCTGGAGAGATGGCTCAGTAGTTAAGAGAACTTGGTGCTCTTTAGCAGAGGACCTGGCGATTCCCAGGACCCCCATGGTGACATAAAAGCCACCATAACTCCAATTCCAGTGTCCTCATCTGGCCTTAATGGGCACCAGCTATGCATATGGTATGTTTCCATACATGCAGACGACATTCATACACATAAAAATAAATCAATAAAAAAAATCTGGCTAGTATGATGATCCATGTCCATAACCCCAGCACTTGGGAGGCTAAGAAAAGATCATGGAGTTAAAGAAGGCACAAGCTACTTAGCAAGATCCCAACTAAATATTCAAACACAAACAACAAAACTTCACCACCCCTACCTCCCCTGAAAATACATTTGTTGAAAATTATACTGAATACTTCTCCTGAGAACTCTCTTGCAGCCTTTCCATGTTAGTTCACTTCAGAACCTTTTAGCCTTTTGCAACATTACTTCTGCAACATGGAAGTCTTATAGCCCACCTACTATACATACACAGAACTCCCCAATGTCCTGAACCTGTCCATAAAGTCAGTATTTCTGGGGAACTGTCCTAGTTGACCACATCCTCTATGAGGCTGTAAGGGTGCCACTTCTGGTTAGTTAAGCACCAAGATATATTTTAAATTCTAATTAAAGTTGTAGATCAGTTGAGAGCACATTATCACAGATAATCAATAAAACTGACTATGCATAAAAGACCATGTAATATGCTTTGCCAATACAAAATGAATACCTCTTAATATATAGCTTCTCTAAAGTTGGGTATTTCTTTTTCTTTTTTCCAAGACTAGGTTCTTAGAACTAGTCACAGTAAACTTTTAGTTAAAAGCCTTATGTCCCATCATTACAATATTGTGGCCATTTTCAGGGATCTTAAAAGACTTGTATTGTCTTTAAAGTCTTAAAAGACTTTGTAATGTAGCATCACCATGGCAAACTTTTTCTAAATGTCTGCAGAAATGTTCAGGTAAACAAACTGGTTGGCTTAGCTGGGTATTTCTCCTCTATCTCTGAAATCCTCCTTCCAATTCAAGCCTTTTCTCCAGCCGTTTGCCAATTGTTTGGCACTTGAATTTTACATTCAAGGATGTAAAATGCCATTCTTAAAAGGCTGTGCCAAACTTTCAGCTAGGAGTGTGTTACTTATTAACCTACCATAACTACAGTAAAGTCAACACTAAGACTTTAATGATTTGGCTTTTATCTATTTTTATCTATCTTGGTCAAGATAATTTTTACACCTTTCAGCATCAACACCCAGCCTTTAGGCTAAGCACCTGTGCATATAATTCAGTTAAGTTTAAACTCTTCTGGCCTGGAAAGTTATGTTTATTGACAGACCATAAACTCTTCAGAGGCAGGCATTCATCTTAGGTGTTTCCAACTCTGAGTAAGTAAAATACTTGGTCCTGCTTAAGACTGTTAGAGAGAGAGAGAGAGAGAGAGAGAGAACATTAGCACAACTCTAAGTCCTTACTGATGTTTCTGAGATAGCATCATCACAACTTAGAGACAATCCTCAGTTTTAGCAATGACTTAAATTTTAAAAGTTATCTAGAGCTAGATTCCAGTGAAAGGAAACATGGGTTTAAGAACTGGGGACAAATTCTTCCCACAATTTAGGAAGATTATCAGTATGCAGTTTCAGAAGCACATGCCTACCTGTTTCATAGAAATCCAGTGTTACACATCAGCACTAAGAACAGCTGAATCAGTGGATTTTCCTAGCTTCAGTTACATTCTGACTATACAGAGGAAACCAACTTAAGTCTAAACAGCCTCAGTGGCTCTAAATATTCAGCTCAAATTTAAATATAGTCTGTCAAAGCTGGCTTCTCCCATCTTCTATTTTTTGAGAAAGGGTTGCTCTGTGTAGACCCAGATGTCCTGGAACTCACGCTGTAGACCAGGCTAGCCTCCCCCTCACAGAGACCTGCTTGCCTCTGCCTCCAGAGTGGTGGGATTAAAAGTGTGCGCCACCACTGCCCAGCCACAAAGTGATGCCATTGCATTCCCTGGTACCCAAATGGGCTAAGTTTCATGAGAGTCACAACCTTTCCACTTTTGCAGTCCCTACAGACCCAGAGTTTAAAATGTTTCCAGCTTTTTCTGTTATCAGTTAGTTGCACAGCTACCAAATTAATATTATATTCCTTTAGATCAGTGGTTCAAAATGCTAGATAATTTTGTTGCCCCCTTAAGTTCTGGCAAAAATCTCAAGGCATTTCTGGTTGTCACAATTGTGCAGAAAGCATCTAGGATGTGGGAAGACAGGAATGCAGCTAAACATTCTATAGGGCCACCAGTAATCTGGGCTATATTTAAAAGGCTTTTGAGTATGTTTCCTTACTCGAAGAATGGAGTTAGGGAATCTACCTTAAAGAGCCTGCAGGAAGATTCAGTCACTTACTGCATCACATTTTTTGATGCGTGTATTTTCACACAATTTTTTTAAAGGTGCTAACTTTCCCTTTAAAAGGTCAGAATTATCATGCTCAGAAGGCTAGAAAGGAGGCAAATAATGGGAACAGAAGTGTCCCTCCACCGAAGACTCTAATTAACATTACTGAAGTGTTTTCTGGGACCGGATAAATTATATGTCAACAATATAAACAAGAAAGGTTGCTGAGCCATGGTCAGAACAAGTGTTGTCTGCTTGGGAGGATGTTAATGTCATTATCAAAAAATGCAGCAGGGTAGAGTTAGAAAATTGTAGGGTGATGAGCCTGTCATTTAAAAAGAAAAAGTCTGCATGAAGATGCGTATGCACCTAGAAGTGCACACACCCAACATCAAGGAATCAGGTTCAGCACCCGGGCCTCTTTTTATTGACAGAACTAATTTGGGAACGCTGTAGATGGGGCACATCTATAATGTTAGGAGTCTTGTGGAAACAGAGTGTGTGGACAATGACAATTAGGCCAATTTGTAATCGCTGGATTAACTGCACCAAAAACTGTCTGACCCAACACCACCACGGAGACACGTGTGGGGACATCTGCACTCATTCTTACCTACCTGTCGGCAGCCAACCACACCTTGTGTTCTCAAAGACCCAACTTCTTCAGTCATTTCTCCATTCTAGCAGATTACTTTCATGCAATTTCAAAGTCTCCCCACCTGCTCCTACTCCACCCTACTATGCTCCAACACTTTGAACCCGTTTCTCTGCTAACCTGGAGTCAACCTGGAGTTGATCCGCAAGTGGAGGTCACTTCCTGGCCATCAAATAGCCATCGTTCCCGACCGTCTATAAAAAACGGTCAAATCCATGTCATTTTTACTTTATAAATTCTGCGTTGCATTCAAGCCAAAACAGAACAACAATAACAACAACAGCACACAGTACAGGAAAAGGATGTCTGGCTTAGTAGCAGTAGAAACAAAAAAACGGTAATCACAGGAAATTCAGAATGAGTCAACTGTGTGAAGCCTTAAAACGAATGTGATTTTAGAAGGTGCACCAGAAATCCGATCAAATTCTGGGTCCCTGGAGAGAACTCTGTCCCAAGGATGGTATTTTGCTAACTCATCCTTGCCTGAGGTGCAACCTGCTGTCCCTGGAACAGTGTGCTTAAGGACCGGCCTCCCGACAATGAATTCGGTGAACCGATTTCATCTGAACGCATTACTGTCCAAACACAATGGGCGCGTGTGATCGCCCTCCATGTGTCGGGGGCGCCCAGCAAGCCCAGGTTTCCCGAGTCGAGGTTTTGATATATGCAGAGACGCCTCGTCAGCCAGCAAGCCTTCGCTTTAGGCTGGTGAGGAGCCGATGCGACCCTGGAGTGCGCCGGAGGAAGAATCTCCCTCCGCTCCCACACAGGTACCACTCAGCCAACTTTGGGAGACGATGAAGCGACCTTAGGCGACCCGGCGATCAGGGATCTGGAGACCTTTTGAATCGGGAGGACCTTCCTCCGGCGGAGGTCCTTTGCTACTCCCCTGCCCGAGGTCGCTTCCCGGCCTTCTCACCCCCACCCCCACCCCGAGGGGAAAGCTCCGAGCCAGTGGGGGCACGCACTTCCCTTTCCACGCCACCCGGGAAACCAGCATGCTCGCCCCTGCCCCGGAGCGCGGCCCCGCGCCCGGCCTGCTCACCCGCGTGCGACATGGGCTCGGTGGCGTTCCCGTAGTGCTCCAGGTTGTAGACCACCACTGCCGAGGCGTTCCTCCGCGCCGCCGCGAGCACCTTGTCCTTGAAGGTGCAGCGGCCACGGGCCACCAGCGCGACCCAGGGCGCGCCGCCCAGGCGGCCGGGCGCGACGAAGCGCGTGTCGGGCGAGCAGCCCTCCTCGTCCCCGTCGGCGCGCGGGACGCCCACCAGGCCCTGCTTGTCCTCCCTGGGCGAGCTGTCGCCGAAGCGGCCGCTCTCGGACACGCTCCACACCGTCTGGTTCGACAGCGGGTCCACGTACTCGATGCCCACCACGGCCGAGTACCACTCGAGCGCCCCGCCGCCCACCCCGGGGGCGCACAAGGCCAGCGCCAGCAACGTCAGCGTGTCCCGGGCCCCCGCGCCAGCCGCGGGCCTCCGTCGCCGCGCCGCCATGGCCGCCCGGCCAGGCTGCCGAAGAAGAAGAGCTCGAGCGCCGAGCGACCCTGCACGCTCCAGGGCCTACCCGCAGCTCTGAGGAGGCGGCCGCCGCTCGCAAGAAACGGCCGTTGCGCGGCGGGGGCGGGTCCCGCGGCGCACGCGCACCTGGAGGGGCGTGAGCGTGAGGGCGCGGCGACGGAAGGGGTGGGGCCCCGCTCGCCCGCGGCCCTCAAGGTGTGCGCAGGCGCGGGCTTCTGTGCCTCTGGGGCCGTGGGCGGCCGTGCTGAATCTTGCAGATGCTAAAGGCGTCTTGTGTAACCGGACGTCTAGAGTCCCCAAGTCTGGGGAAATTTGTGTGGTTCGGGCAGGCAAGCGTGGGACTGCGGTTGTGTAAAATCTCTCAGAGGGTGGAGTTGCCTGCGCCAGGCACACAGCAAAGGCCTGGCTGTCTAAACCACTTCAAAACAAAACAAAACAACGAAACAAAGCCGCCCGCATGTTATCCGGATGCTTTTTGTTAATCGACTTGGTTGATTCTTTGTTGCTCTTCTCTCAAGGGTTCCAGTCAACCCTTTTTGTTAGTTTATATGTAACGCGTAGGCTTCTATTTGCATGAAGACGAAGATGCCACATCAATCAAAAGAGAAAAGGGAGGAAGATCTGTTTGAAAATAAATGTTAACTGATAACTAGTCCTATGACAACAGGGTGGGTAATTTTTTGTGTACCATGAAATGATCCTGAACACCCTTAACATGGTTAATCGCATGCATGATAACTCTGCTCTGGTAAAAACTTGGAGGGTTGGGTAGAACTGAGGTTTGTTTCACTCCCTGGTAAAGCATCTCCAGAGCTTGGAAAGTGTTTCTCCTTCCTTTGAAGAATATGAAGTCTTACTGGACCCCAATGGATATGTGAGATTTCTCCTTCCCGCTGAGGTGAGACATCCATCATACATATAAGAGCTACCAAATATCAAAATACATTTGAAAAACTTGGTCATATACGAGCTACTGAATATCAAAATACATTTAAACCTAAGAATTGGGCACTTTTAAGAACTTAGCATAGTTATACACTGTCAGTCATTTCTCTGAAGACAACGCGCGCGCGCGCGCGCGCGCACACACACACACACACACACACAGAGAGAGAGAGAGAGAGAGAGAGAGAGAGAGAGAGAGAGAGAGAGAGAGAGAGAGAGAGAGAGAGAGAAGAACATGCTGTGACAGACCTTCAGCTCATCTCCCAAGCCTGACTTAGCCACACTCACACTATCCTCTGGCTCGGAGGGTTCAGATCTCTGCCGAATGAGTTAAACCAGTTTCTCCTGAGAACCACTGACATAAAGGTGCCCCAAGTCTTTAATTAGACTGGCCTTCCAGCAGAGGCCTGCTTCTCTCCTGATGGAGCAACCGAGCTCCCGATTTCAAAACTCACTATGTGGTTGAGCGTCTTCTGCTAAGTGTGTTCCCTGTGAGATTCTTTCGTGTTTTTCTCCATTTTTAAGTAGTGTGAGCAAAAGGCCAAAAGTTCCCTTTGTGTGGCAATAAGCTGTGAGATTTGCGAAGTCATATTTTGTTCATCTCTTCATTTCCTCCAAGCAAACCACTAAGGATCTGAAAAATGAAGTTTAGAGCTTTGATTTCTGATTGACTTGTTTCTCTTCCTTCTTTGCACAAGGGTCTATGATTACAGGAGACTGGTTGTTGCTGCTCAGACCATGTGTTTTCTGTCAGACCTTAAACCTCTCTTGCTTCTCTTTTGTCTTTTGGATTGCATTTGTGGTCTAAAACACAGCCTGAGTTCCAGCTATGAGGAGCTTTGAAGTTGACTCTCTTCTCCCACTCCCATTACTAAAGTAACTTTTATTTTTGTTTTATGCATATGAGAGTTTTGCCTGCATATCTATCTGTGCACCAATGCCCTTGGATATTCCTGAAACTGGAGCTGTAGACTGTTGCAAGACAACACGTGGGTACTTGGAATTGACCCTAGGCTTTCTGGGAGAACAGTCAGTGCTCTTAATCTCTGAGCCATCTCCCCTGCCCCAGTAAAAGAATTTTTTTAAATTATTTATTTATTTATTTTGGTTTTTCGAGACAGAATTTCTCTGTAGTTTTGGAGCCTGTCCTGGAACTAGCTCTTGTAGACCAGGCTGTCCTCAAACTCACAGAAGTCTGCCTGTCTCTGCCTCCCAAGTACTGGGATTAAAGGCGTGCCACCACTGCCCGGCTGAAGGAATTTTTAGAGGCCAATAGAATTTTAAACTTAAGACCTTTCCTGTGTTTTAGACCCAGAATAAGGTTGTATGTTGTTGCCCGAGGAACAAGCTCTAGAACCCCTGACATGTCTCAGCCATGCAAATACTTGCAGTCCCCAGAACACATCATTGTGGTTTCATGCTGACACATTACTTCCTTCTTCCTGAATGACCTCCTCCTTCTGCCTTTTGTTCTGGCAAACACTACATTGGTCTTAAAAATTTAACCCCTTGGCTGTTTCTTCTGTAAAACCTGTCTTGGTTGCCTATAGGGTAGCAGAAGCTCTTTCTGTTTTCCATGGTACTTGAGCACAATATATACACACATTGTTTTCATGCTACTGATGCTGATTCCCAAATAGGGTTTAGGGTCTTCCCAAGGGCCAGGATTATTTGGTTGCTCTTTCCACACGCCTATGTCAACCAGGAGTATAGGAAAGCATTTTATATGGGCCAAACACTATTCTACAGCAAAGGACTCATGATTAATCAAACACTTGCTCAAAAAAGTCAACTTGGCTAATGGGGCAGCACAATTTCTTGGTTTTTAACTTTTTATTTCTATTTTTTCTGTTTCTGAGACAAAGTTTTTCTGTGCAGCTTTGGTTGTCCTGGAACTTGCATTTAGACCAGGTTGGCCTCAAGATCCTCCTGCCTCTGTCTCCAAAATGCTGGGATTAAAGGCGTGTGCCACCACTACCCGGCAGGTTTATACTATCACCAGACCACGCCTCAGCTGGTTTTCCCTGCTGTGAAGCGCTACCACTGGCTCAGACTTCTGAGACCCTCCTTGGGTACTGACTGCCAACCACCACTCCCCCTCCCTTTCCCCAGAAGGGCTAACAGGACTTATCACTAACACTTGTTTTTGGAGGGAAAGAACAGCGCTATTGTTACTTTTTAATCGTTTTAGTGTGGGATGTTTCAAATAGTTCTCAAACTAGAGAGATTAACAAATGGAGCTCTCTGCACTCCTAACTTAGGTTCGAGAATGACCAGCACATGGCCAGTAGTTTTAGGTAGACATGTAGCTAACTTTCTTTCTCTTCTATTACATTACTTCGAAGAATACTCCAAGGATCGTATTATTTTTTTGTAATACTTTTACTATGCACTCATGACTATTGCTTTTTGTTCAGTTGATTGGATTTAGACTCGCTGTGGAAACACGCCTCTGGATCTGTGTAGGACATTTCCAGGAATGTCTAACTGAAGATGTGAGTTAACTGACTGTGGGTGGGACCAGCCGGGACCCCAGAACGAATGGAAAAGGAGAAAGCAAACTGAAGAGTAGAATTCACCTCTTTCTGCTTCTTGTCTGCAGACGTAGTGTGACTAGCTGTCCTGTGCAGCTGATATCATTACTTCCTGTCCTTCACAGACTGTTCCTTTGAACTGTGGGCCCAAAGAAACCCTTCGCGCCTCTTGTAGCCTTTGTCAGGTCTTTCATCACAACAACAAGGAAAGTGTCTGAACCAGAAGATTGGTACCAAGGGTGCGGTCTTTGCTGTGATGAGCCTGACCATGTGATCCGACGGCCTTTGAAGCTTTGTGGGAGGAAGGCAGAAGAATTTGGAGCTCAGTAAAAATTCCAGAGTCCCTGGAACTCTGTAAGCTGAGCTCCGTGGGCCAGGCTTGTGGGAGTCTGGAGAGCTAGGATGCTGAGAAAAGATGTTTCAGAAGGGAACAAAGAGGATCAGGAACTGGGCTGGAGGCCATTTGTGCTACACTCCAACAAAGGGTCTGGCTTCATTCTGCCCAGCCCTTTGAATTTATGTGAGGCAGAATTCAAAAGCAATGGACTAATGAATGTTTGGTGGAAGAAATTTCAAGACAGCAAAGAAGTCAGGCTGGGGCAGGACCGCTGCGCACGGTGTTTAATTTAGAGCTACAGCGAGAGCAGCACGATATAAAAAAAAAAAAATACGCAGTCTGGTGAGGAAAAACAAGAAATTTAGAGTTGTGGACAAGGAGGTTACAGACAACACATCTATTCATTGTTAACAAAGTTAGCAACATTAAAAAGAAACCTCACATTTTTCACAGAGACCATCGGATAAGTGCGCTGTGGCAAGACCACATTTATCATCGAAAGCTCCAACTTGTGAAAATGTAGGTTAGTGGGAAGAAGGGACCCTATACTTGGGATGCCACCATAGCAGTGTCCTGCTTCAAAATGGTCACCCAGTACAGTGTTTCTCCAGGGCCAGCCCTGAAGACACACGATGGGCACAGCAGCTGTGGCAGGCCTCAAAGGAGCCTTTAGGTTCAGGACCCCCAGGACCAAGTGCTCAGCATCAAGGAGATTTGTTTGCCCCAAAGGGACAGAGGACACAGCATAAGAGACAA